GCAGCCACGACTTCTGGAGGGGAGCCCTGGCCCTGGTGGATGGTCCTCCTCCTCCCCCCTGTTAGGAAGCTTCCCCTTGGTTCCCACCCGTTGCTCCTTCTCCTGCCTTCAGGGGCTTTGGAGAAGACGTTGCCCCCCCCCCTCTTCTCTGGGGCAGCCCCTCAAACAATCGAATGCTGCTGTCCTGCCGCTCCTAGTCCTTCTGGCCACTCCCAGCCAAGCCCAGATGCTGTTCCTCGTGTTTTAGACTCCAGGCCTTCAACTGTCTCAGTTGCTCTTCTTTCCCCTTTTTCCAGAGTCTCAGTGTGTGTGTGTTTTTTTTTGATGCAGCATTCCAGCCCTGGTTTGCTTTCATTCAGGCTTTATAAAGCGGTACTAACTAATACTTCACCTGATTTTGATCCTGTGCCTCTGCTTATAGCAGCCAAGGGTTGCATTTGCTTCTTTGGCGGCGGCTGCCGCTGCCCACGGCTGGCTCATGTTTAAGGGGTCGTCCCCTATAGGGCTCCAAGGTCCCCCTCACAGTTCCCCTTTCTGAGCCAGGTTTCGCCCGGCCTGTCCTTGTCCCTGTGGCTTTCCCTGCCCAGGTGTGTGTGTGTGTGTGAGAGGCCTTGCTTTCCTCCACACTGGATTTCATTTTGTTGGATGGTCTGTCAAGATCTTTTGGGGCCCGAGCTTGTCTTCCAGCCTGTGCCAGGAGGTCCAGCTCCCTCGGTCCCCGTCCGCTGCTTCACCCACAGCAAGGCTCCCTTGAATGGCTGCCTCTTTGGGGCCAGGACCTTCTCTGCCACAGACTTGCCTGCGGCCAGGTGTCCTCATGGGGGGCTTCTTTACCCCAGAAGATGAGGCCCAATCCCTCCTTTCCCCAGGACTCTCCTCCCCCCCCCCCGCCCTGGGTCACCAGCTTCACCCGCCCGCCTGGGGCTCTGGCTCTTCTAGGTGGGCGGCAGCCTCCAGGCCCCCTGGCAGCTTTCTGACCCCCCGCCCCCCTTTCTGCTCTTTGGGGATCCTGCAGGCTTCAGCACTTCGAAGGGGCAGCTGGTGCGCTCCATCCTGTACCCAAAGCCCACCGACTTCCAGCTCTACCGCGAGGCCTACCTCTTCCTGCTCTGCCTGGTGGGCGTGGCGGGCATCGGCTTCCTCTACACCATTGTCATCAGCATCCTCCACCAGGTGGGGGGAGCCAGGGCCCCGTGGGTGGCCGGGGAGTGCCCTTACATGGGTGGCGCCTCCTGGGCCGGGCTTGGATGCCCCCCTCCCCCAAGAGGGCCGGGAGGGCCAGCCGGGGCACTTGCCCCTGCTCCGGCAGGGAGGTTGATGCCCACCGCCCCCCCCCTTCCAGGTCCCCGCCCGCATCATCATCATCGAGTCCCTGGACATCATCACCATCACGGTCCCCCCGGCTCTCCCAGCCGCCATGACGGCCGGCATTGTCTATGCGCAGCGGCGGCTGAAGAAGATCGGCATCTTCTGCATCAGCCCCCAGAGGATCAACATCTGCGGGCAGCTGAACCTCGTCTGCTTCGACAAGGTCCAGCCTCCCTCCGGCCCCTCCCCTGGGCTGCTGGTGGGGGGGGAGGGAAACATGCCTCCTGCCTGTCTCTTGCTGTCCCCCCCCGGGGCCCCTGCCGGGAGGAACGGGGGGGGGGGGGGGGGGGGG